TAATTGAAATTGAATCAATAATAAACAAACTCTAGTCAAGAAATAACTTCAAAAATGATTCACTCTATTAATCACTGATGCAATAATAATTTCATTTGCTCATTGATAATTTCATTTTCTCCCTCCCTCCCTTGGATAAAAAATTTGAATCTTTGCGGCATCCTGTTTCCTATTGGTGCTGGGGTTCAACTTGTTCTTGTGTGTTACAATGCGGAGGTTGACAATGTGTTCAAGTTTTGTCGACAATCGTGATTGGTTCATTATTATCCCTTTTGTGTGGAAGGGAATTACTTGTTCACAACTTTTGGCATTAGCGTTTTTGCCTATGGTGTATTTTACAGGAGTTTATTTCAAGGACATGCTCCATTCTGTGGTAAAGTTGAGGGGTTGCCTGACCATTTTTTTCCTCCTCAATATCATGGTCATAGTAGGGATGGCAATCCGGCCCGCGGGGATGGGGCGGGGGTTGGGGCGGGGGCAGGGGGGGAAGTTTTTCCCCCGTTTAGAAACGGGGCGGGGGACGGGGGTATATTCTCCCGCGCCAACCCCTGCCCCGTCACCCGCTTAAAATAATAAAAAATATATATATACATAATTATATATATAATGATATTATCAATTATACTACTAATTATACATGTTTATTAATAAAAATTATTAATTATTTATACTAAATTTATTAATACATTTATATTAAATTCCTAACTACACTTAATACAATAACATTTTTTTCCAAAAAAATACAATAACAATTTAGTGATTGTATTTGTATCAAAAGTAAAAACTTGATTATTTTAGTTATACTTTTTATCATATTAGATTGTATTCAAATAACTTTTATTTAATTATTTTTATGAGTTTCAATTTTAAAGTTATAATGAATAATAATTTGGTAATATGTTGATATTTTAGTATTTGATTATTTATTCAAATTTAATTATAATAAATTATATAATAAAATTTTTTTTAACTCCGCGGAGAAGCGGGGCGGGGCAGGGAAGCCGAGGCGGGGGATGGGGCGGGGGACGGGGGAAGGATCCCCAGGCCCACCCCCACCCCATTGCCATCCCTAGTCATAGTCCAATGCCTCTACAACGGATTGGCCCAAATAAGTTTGCTACCCTTTGGCTCGCAACTGTGGGGCAAAAACCACGACATTGTGCTAGGTTGAGTGTGTTCACCACTTCACCGCTTGAGGAGGAGGAGCATTCTGCTACTCCTCTTCGGGAGGGGAAGAAGGAATATGATACTTCTTTATAGGAAGGAGATGAAGAAGGAATCTTGTTTTGTTCCCAACATTGAATTAGACGAAAGTCTTGAACTCGAGGTAGAGGAGCATGTTCATTTCTGTTTTCCTGAATCACATTCTTCTCTTTGAATTCGGCCTAGTATACAATAGTTCACATACCCTGTTTGCATTATCATCTTTAATCACATAAAACCATCATAATTGAGGAAAATTTGAAGTGTTGATTGAAAAGCAAAGAACTATATGGAGATTTTCACCAAAGATGCAGTTGTAACCACATCTGCAGGCTATCACCAACAACCAGGAGACCCCGCCACAAACTCCAAAATCAATAACATTGCCAGAAAGATATACTTTCCACTCACAGAGTTTCTAATCTACACACAGGACTTCAAATCCATATGTGAGTCCACGAGATCTATAAAAGCTTGATCATTTAATTAAACTGTAACAATACAAAATTGCATTAGATTGAGCCCATAGAATTATCCCTGCCAAGAATTGCAAAATTAGAAAGTAATCAGCATCACTTTGCTCTAACGTCTGTTCTGACTAAAATGGTGCTGCAAATCTACCTATAGCACACGAATTTGGGAAAGAAATTCAAGATATGAAAGCCACTCTACCGTCAGACTTCGGCCACACCAAATAGTACAACTTGTGTCTGAAATATCAATAGCGTAACCTTTTTTCCGTATCATATTTTGCTGATATAAACTACACATGTATGAAAGATCAGCATGAGATAAAACAAAGTTAATTACCTTTGCAACAGCAAGTGAGCTTAAGAACATATTACAACAAAATTCAGGTGACTCAATGAACAGAAAAGAACCAGCTTAAAAGTTTGTCAATTTCCAATGCCAAACGTACTAGTGCATGTTGATTACTCACAGTAAACCAGTTCATTGGCAGCTCTAACACACAACAGATTTATGTGAACAAGTATACAAACTCTGAAAATGTAAAGTGCAGTTGTAAAACAAAGCAAAGTAAAAAGAATGAAAGAAATGTGATTGGATCATAACCCGGGATAGATGCTAAAATCTAGATCGACTATGAAATGAAGACCAGAAATTCAGCACTACCAAGAAGAATGAAACAAAAAAACTCGCATTCACCAACCTTTCATAGATAATCTGCACAGAAGGATTTTGAGAACGTACGCTAAGAGCTGCCTTCTAAAACATAAAAAAAACCCCTCCTCCTTCATCCGGACTTGGGACTGGCTGTGTGATGTATTGTGTCAACACAGGTGGAGTTAAAAAACTTCATGTCTCTAGTGCCAAGCATGATAAGTCATCTCTTCGTGATCATAGACAAGTCACCTTGGACAATGAATACCCCCTATGCCATTGAATGCGAGGAAAAATTGACGAATATTCCCACTCAAAAACATGTAGAGCAGGCTGTATCAAATAGCAATAATTGGTTAATTCCCAGTCTTCAGCATGTGTGAGGGATGAAATGTCATCTAGCCTAGTAAAGGGAATTTGTTCGAGCATAACAATTTGAAATCAATTCAACACTAATTGGCCCATATGACAATTATATTAAAGAAAGATGGTGTGCTCACAGGAGTTGGGTTAAAACGTCCAAAAGGCTCGTCTCAACTTTCCATCCACAACCAAGTTTTTTGGTTTAAAATCCCAATATACCTAAAAGTCGAAGGTTCAAGTGAGATCTAGGATTGCTCACCAGAACCAGGGCGTTAACAATGGTAACGACAGTGGTTGGCCTGCACTATAGTTGCGGTGGGGTTCCCCCCATTGTCCCTCGTTGTGTGAGTGCAAGGACTTGGCTGCAGCTTGTTAATAGATTTTGTTTTTCGATTGCAAAGCTGTCCCTCTTGTGGCAATTGCAATCCCAATTTTTTTCAGAAACACCTTTTTTTGGTGCTTTTTTGTGCTCTTTTTGCACTTATTCATTTTTAGGTCTCTTGAGAATCCAACTGACTCACTCAGGAGATGTTTGATATGGAAACCACAACTGCACTCTCACTTATTATTTGGTATAGCGAGACTCCCGACTTGGCTTACTCTGCAACAACCGAATAGGGAACCACAACAGATACATGGCACTAACCTGCCCCTGATTGCTTTATCGCCTCACCAACTTATTAAGTATATTAAGATGTCAACTCCAATCACTAGGCGCGGACCTCAAGTTTTAACTCATACTTCTTTCAGTTTCTAAGCCAAGGTAGAAATGGAAAGAGGCCAATTAGTATTTCATTCACATCAAAAGCTACACCGTCGCATTATCACACAATTACAAGGCTAGTTGTTATACGTGCAAAGGTGTGTGAAGTAGCTTTAGACAGATTCCCAAGTATAGCTAACTTTGATGCCTGAAAGTGGAAGTACCTATCATTTTCACCTATGGCATTTAGGCACATTTATAGGGAACTCACTTAGACATACTAATAGGAACTCAAGTGATCATCAGTAGCTATTAAAATGTACACAAACAGTTAAAAAGTTAAGAAGATAGCATTTATAGGCAGGCTAAATAGGGCAAAAAAAGAATCAAGTGTTGTTTAATTAACAAAAGGACAGAAATTTAATTATTGATCGTGTAAGTATTTATGAGACATTAGAGTGGCAGATTTAAAATTATGCATTACCCTTTTTTTTCTTTTGAAAACAATAACACCTCATGCACAGTTGAGAGATACGTGTTAGGTAGAGCTAAGCGAATTTTCTATTTTTGGGGAAAAAAAAGACATCCAATGCCTTTTTTTCATTTTTTAAATTTTTTCTTTTTTTAAAAAAAAATTCTTTCCCTACTAATAAAAAAGTAAAGGAATAAAGAAACCAAAATCCTTTAGTTTTTTGGATTTTTTTTTCAATTTTTCGTTCTTTACTGGCAAATAAAAAAGTAAAAAGGAAACCATAATCATTTTTCAATTTTTTCTTTTTTTAAAAAAATGCTTTTTCTACTAAAACAAGTAAACAAAAAAAAAGAAACCAAAATATTTTTGTGCTTTTTTGGATTTTTTTATTTTTTTGGTCTTTTTTGTTTTTGTCAATGTTTTTTGTTCTTTGCTTGCAAATAAAAAAGAAATGAAAATCTTTTTTACTTTTTTTATTTTTCAATTTTTTTTTTAAATTCTTTTCCTACCAAAGAAAAGTAAACGAAAAAAAGAAGCCAAAATATTTTTGTGCTTTTTCGGATTTTTGGATTTTTTTGTCTTTTTTTTTCAATGTGTTTTGTTCTTTGCTTGCAAATAAAAAAGAAAAAAAAAAGAGATGAAAATCTTTTTTCACTTTTTTTATTTTTCAATTTTTTTTGAAAATTCTTTTCCTACCAAAGAAAAGTAAACGAAAAAAAGAAGCCAAAATATTTTTGTGCTTTTTGGATTTTTTTGTCTTTTTTGTTTTTTTCAATGTTTTTTGTTCTTTACTTGCAAATAAAAAAGAAAAAAAAGAGACGAAAATCTTTTTTCACTTTTTTTGATTTTTTAATTTTTTTTGAAAATTCTTTTCCTACCAAAGAAAAGTAAACTAAAAAGAAGCCAAATCTTTTTTGCTTTTTTGGATTTTTTGATTTTTTCAATGTTTTTTTAGCAATAAAAAAGAAAAAAAAAAGAGGAAACCAAAATCTTTTTTTTCTAATTTTTTAAATTTTTTTGTCTTTTTTATTTTTTCATTGTTTTTTGAAATTTCTAATTCTCTTCCTAGCTACTACTACCCTAATTACTTAGCTAATAATCAGATAAACCAGTGAAAAGAAATTGAGATTTTCAAACCTGTTGTTGCGCTTTGCCCGCCAAATCCTCAGCAACTCTGGACAGGGCTCGCAAATTCAGTTTCACGATCGTATCCACAAAGGCACACGTCTCTTCTTTCGTGTTGGCCTCGGCCGCATCAATCACGTAAGTCTCCACAACCACCGTCTCATTGCCGCCATTGGGGTGTAGGCTCATGATCGAGCGATAGTTCGACAACTGGTGGTCGCCGCTGACAATGCTAAACCCGAAGATGCGCTGATCATGATCAAGAATCTCGAGCCGCTCGATGCTATAGGAGGCTGGAAGTCCTGACGCGACATCCAAAAGCCCCTTGAGATCAAGTAAACATATAGAAAAACCCCCTGTAGTTTTTAAACATATACTCCGGTACCTCATTGTCTGAAATTATTTTAAAAAGCGATGGAAATCGTTTGAATTAACGGGTTTGAAATACACGCGTTTCTTTGCGAGTATTTGTACTGGAAACAAACAAATTTTTAATTGATATACCTATTATACTCTTAGAGTTATAATACAAAAAGTCCCCTGTGATTATTCAAATCTACAAAAAAAGCCCTTATGGTTTCAAATCATACAATACAATATCTCGTGATTTTGAATTAATGTGAAAATCGGCAAAAGTCATTTAAATTAATGAGTTTGAGATTCCTTGACTTGAAAAATATTTTTTTTAATTCAAAATTTTAGTTGACATACCTATTAAATACCTTAGAACTCATAAAATTTTCAAAAACAACCCAAAACTCCCAATACAACTCACCTTCATTTCTATATATAAAATAAATAAATAAAAATTCTTAAATAAAACTCACATTATTTCTATACATAAAATAAATAAATAAAACTTCCAAACACAGCTTATCTTATTCCTATGCACAAATTAAATAAATAAATGAAAACTACATGTAACCATAAGGGGCTTTTTCCATAGATTGGCTTAATCACAGGGGTTTTTCCATAAGTTTACTTAATAGGATGGTTGTTTAAAGGTTTTTTATTGCTTATATATATATATTAGGGTAATTATGTCATTTGGTCTGCCTCAGCTGGTTTTGACAATTTCCGTTGCTGTTTCAAATTATTTCAAACTATGAGAGGTCAAAATGTATGATTCGAAATCATAATGGACTTTTCCGTAGGTTAGCTTAACCACAAGGGATTTTTTTTGTATTTTACCCTACTTTTAAAGATTGAACATTTTCATTTTTTTCTTGTTTTGTTAGAAGCATATATGTTACAAGTTTGAACATAACAATTCAATATTTTGATTAGAGATCTTTTTTTGGTATAGTTTAAGTTATAAAAAATAATATATTTGTAGACAAGAAGTCAATTTGCACTAGTATGCCAATATACTGGCTTTTTTGGATTGCCATTCTTTGGCCAAAAATCTCATGTTTTTTGGAAATATTTCCTTGATGCATTTTTCAATGATCGTTTTACTTCATATAAATCACATCTAAAAAAGTGTTACAGTATATACCCTTCCAGAAAATGCAATCCAAACAATATACTTCCATGATCAATCATACTAGTATTGCGATTAGGAACCTTTTTTGGCAGTTAGAATAACAAAAACTAAAAAAGAAAAATAGAACCTAGACAACAAAATCGATTATGTGACTTGACTCTCATGATTACTTGACATAATTCTAATCAAGGTGAAGATAACTTGTAGTATTTTGGGTAATTTTTTTCAAAGGTCAAAAGGTTGTTTGGGTACAAAAGAATATGAGTACTAAACTATAGGTTTAAATTTAATTTCATTTAAATCAAAAAAGGGAAGGATTTAGGCTTGTCATTGGGCTATCTGAAGTGAAGTGAGGTTTAACAAACTCAGATTTGGCTCATATAGTTAGTACCATTTTTGGGTTTCGAATTATGAGATTTGAAGTGATAAATATGAAACTCATACTTGACTTACAAAATATTCAGATTATAAGTTTAATTTTGACTTAACTCAAGCTCACTTATAACTCCTTAACTTCCTTAATATAATTACTATAATTATTAAGTTTTAAACTAATTTGATATCTGCAGAACCACAACATTAAAACTATATAGGAACCAATAACAGTTCATTAAAAAGTATATAAAACCAAGAATTTTTCAACAGTAATATATCCAATTAATTCAATGTACATAGAAAATAATAATAATACACGATCAACAGTCAATACATCTTCAAAGGTCCTCAATTTGCTCATACTGAGATTTGTCCTTCTAAATCTTTGACATAATTTTGTATATTTAATATTCCTTATATATATATATATATCAAAATATAAATATATTATATATAATTATATATATATATATATATATATGCATATTAAAGGGTCAAGCATATATCGGGTTTGACCCTAATAAGATCCAAACTCTACTCACATTTAATTCGGGACTAATATTTAGACCCAATTTTAACCCAATTCAATGAAAGGTTAGGCTCATTAGACTTTTTCTTGGAGTCGAGTTCAAACTGACTCGGCCCAGTAATAGTCCTAGAAGGATTGCCACAGATTTTGATGCTAATTCATTTCCCTCTCAAAATGGTTAAGAAAGGGAATTTAGGGATCAGATGATTAGAGTGGGGGCTTGGTTGGTTGGATAGGTTAATTTGGTAATTTCGGTTATGACATGTGTTTTATTAGATATTAGGAATATGTGAATTTGCCAAAACTTATATGTCTTTAAGAATTTAAATCTTTATATTACTACTTCTCAAAATTTTCCAAAGGGAGAAACACAAATTTGATTCTCAATGTTTGACTTGTAGATCAAACTGGTCTCTATTGTATCAGCAAAACAAATATGGTCTCTAAATTTTCTGATTTTAACTTTACATTTTTAGTCCCTAATTTTTGAAGTTTCAATCAATATGGTCTCTTAAGTTTCTAGTTATTGTTAGGAGTTTTACAAAGAAAAAAAAGGTGTGAATTGATTTAAAGATTTGACAAATGTCATCCTAAATCCCTATAAATTTCATAAAAACACTTTATATCGAGATAATAACATCATTGAACTTAAAGAGTTTTATTATTATTTTTTGAATAAGTTACAATCATATGACAATATATACATAATATATAAAATAAAAAAGGAAAATTCTAGTATTAATATAAAATTTATTATCTTTCATGCCAGTTCTTGCATGGTTTGTGCATATAGGCCTTAAATTGTTATAGTTAGGAATTGTTATAAAAACTAGCAATCATAGATACTAATATGAAGTGCTTTTACTCATTATGGGTTAATTATCAGTTAATTACTAATAGTATAAAACAATAATTACATATATAATACCAAATTTGAGACCAATTATCCCAAAGGGAAGAAGTATATGAGACATTAGTGGCATGAATAAATGAAGTAAAAAAATAAAAAAGTTTAATTAGAATTGCTAGTACCCATTTAAGACAATTGCGGTGTAATTCTTATCTTATTTTATCCTAATATCCTCAATATCACTATTGAAAACTTAAGCGATTAAAATTTCAAAAATTAGGGTTCAAAAGTACAAAGTCAAAATTGTTAAATAACAGTAATTAAATTTTGACCACTAGTCATTATTGAGTTTTCATCATTGTTAAATGTACCTAATACCAAAAACTTTGAGAACCAAATTTATTTTGGTGGAAACATTAGAGACTAATTTAGCACATATGCTAAAAATTTAGACTAAAACTACAATTCTCCCTTTTTCCAAAAGAAAAATCTACACCTTTTTTTTTTTGTTTTATTTTTGTGCACACATGTGATTTTTTTTTTCACCTTTCATATCACACAACGGTCCAAAAGGACTGACATCAGTTTATAGATTCAATTGTTAAAATGACTTTGTGAATTGTGAGAGTGGTAATTTGTAGAAAAATTCTGTTTGGTAGAATTTGGATAAAAGAAGGATGTGTTTGATAAAATTAAAATTTGAAAACTGAAGCTTGAAGTCCAAATTCCATTAAGTTAAGTAGTTGAATTGTTATTAGGTCCTATTTGATAATCCAATTCATCACTTAAAGTTAATGGATTTAGATATTAACATGTTCATATGTCTTTGATAATCAAAAATTACACATTTGAATTAATTAAATGATGCTAAATTTTCTAGACAAAACTTACTCTAAAAAATAAGTGATAAGTTATTCACTTATCACTTAATCTGATATACATTTAAATGTATCACATTAGTACTTAACAATTCAATAATTTAATAGATTCATATTTCAAATTTCGGATTCAAATTTTAAATTTCAATTTTATCAAACGCATGCTAAATCCAATATATTTGAGTGTATTTTAGAGTAAATGAATAGCTTATCACTTATATTTGAGAGTAAGTTTTGTTTAGAAAATTCAACGTTACTTAATTAATTTAGACATTCTATTTTTGGTTGTCAAATGTGTCTCAAGATGTTCAGATTTGAACTCATTAAATTTAAGTACTGAATTGGATTATTAAAGAGGGCCTAAATCATTTAGTATAAATCACATTTTATTAGTAAAGTAAGTGGAAGAACTAGGGTATAATACACCATTTGCCATACAAAAGATGGGGCGAAATATAAATATAAATCTCATTTGCGTTACAAATTACAATCCATTAACACAATAATACTGGGAATGAGCACCGATAGACTCAGAAAAGAATGGCTGAAAAACTTGTGACAGCAAAAACAGAAGAAAAAGCAAAAGAATTGGAAGAAGAAGCAAAGAAAGTGGAACTGAAAACCAAGAAGGAGCTGAAGCCCTGGGAGCAGCACTCTGCTGTCATCACCATTCCTCTTTTGACTACAATGCCCCTTCTTCCCTCCCCAGTCATTCCCACTCCGGATTCCTCATCACCTGCCCCATCAGTAAGGTCTCTCATCCCATCTCTTCTGTCCAGAAAGTTATGCTCTTTTTTTTTGTTATTTTTGTACTTTATTGGCATTTATTTATGTAATTTGCATCTGGGTTTTTGATTTTCAATTTGATTGTTTGGGATAGCCTGGGCAGTGTGGTGATTGATAAAAATGCTTCCTTTGTTATGTAGAGAGGGAGAAGAGTGCAACAAAAGAAGCCATGTCAATTCTTGAAAAGGTAATGAATTCTGCTGGTTTTGCCTCTTGTCAGTTCTCTGGAGTAATGTCAAAATAAGGAAATTTTAGATATAAAGAAAATTCATGCTGACTTGAGAATCAGGACGGTTAAATTGGTTTAGTGAACTTGGTTTTATGGGATTCTTAAATTCTGGGCAAGTTTGGGAACTTGGGGTATTTGTAAGTGAATAAGACTGTAGCGGACTTGAATTACTGGTATAATGTGTTCGCTGCTGTAATTGTTTTGGTTTAAGATGAAGAGTAGCAATGTTACGGAATTGGTTTCTAAAGAAAGAGATGTTTGAATGATTAAGCATAATTAAACGGCAAATGGGATGGCGACTAATTGATAAAACTGATGAAGTTTGGAGAATTGGACGAGCCATGCAGAAGATAGGCACAGGCGTGTTGTGTTGTTCAAATGCATTAGGTATTGAGGGGGGAAAAACAAACAAACTAAAGTTGTTTACTGTTTTAACGTGATAAATTTTTGGAAATGAAGTGTAATGCTAATGGTCTTCATTTGTGAGAATAATGGAAAAATTATGCACGCAACACTGTTAGTCTAGGAAAAACGTTTATGATTTTTTGGTTCTCAACTTGATTAAGATTTCTGTTTGCGGACAAACAGAAGAATAAGATGTCAATTATCCTGCCAATAGGTTATTAACTTCTGAGTCTAGTAGCTGGCTTCCAATTTTATTGCTTATGATCTTCCACTTCATCCATTTATTTGTAGCCTGTGCATTTTTAGGCCACAGATTAGTATGGTTTAGTCCTTGTTTACAAGTCTTATTCAACTTGTTTTGCTTACACTGTCATTTGTCACTTGGTTCAATCGAGTGACTGCTTAAGTCTGCTGTGCCTTCTTGAGTAAATGACATGATTCGACATCCAAAATGCAACACTGCTTAAATTCTTTATCACTCAGCTTTCCAGTATATATATATATATATATATATATATATATATATAAGTTACCAATTTCCTTGAATTTGAAGTTTCTTATGGATACATATTAACCTTATCTTAAGCTTGAGTACATAACTCATACAGGTTAAGCACAAATTCACCTTACTACTATTGAACCTTTGCATTGTTTTCTTTGAAAATAAATCAGAAACAATAGATAGAAGATATGCAATATTTTCTGCCGTAAGAAAAAGTTTTTAAACATAAAAGCAATTTAATAAGTGCATGGTTATATTTCTCTAAAGAATGACATGGTCTTAAGTGATCGTATTTCTGGAAGGAGAAGACCATTAGTCTAATTTTGTTAGGCATTTGAGACATCAGATATTATATGCATGAAATATATAGCTGATTGCCAATCATCTATTTTGAGTTCTCAAGAAATAGATATATAAGCTTCAGTTTTGCTTTTAACAGTAAAAAGGCATTCTTCATTGCAGCACCTTTGGATAATTGTTTTTTATTCATACCTAAAGGGACTGTATAGGCATGAGATGTTGCACTCTTCTAGGGCCCAAATAATAAGTGGACAATTTAGAGTTAGCTTAAAATCTTGTGGCAGACAACTTGTTTGGAATTGTTTTTGGATATATTTACACCAGAAGCCAAGCGTTGCTGAGGCTTATCACTATGTGAAAGAAATGAATGAGTTTCAGTTGTATTTGAAGTCCTCTCCAAAGCCTGTATCATTTTTATTTCTTGGACCTCTCTTGTTGCAAAAGGAAGACAAGTAATGAACCAACTTGGAGAATGGGGAGAAGTGCATCTGGTGCTTGCAAGATTCTTTTCTTTTGACTTCATGGAGTTTTTATAAAAGCTGTGTGCTGAATGTTTTCTTAGGGCTTCAAACTGATGTTGATATATTGACACATTATGCGTTCTATTCTTTTTTATGCATGCCATCAATATTCACGACTGATGCAACCAATGAAGAGTTTAAGGGAAGAGTAAATTTAAATGTTCTTGGGAACTTGGCTGAAGATCCAATTTACCCACTTTGAAGAATGGGTAATCTTTTTAGGATCTCGAGTTATTTATTAGAAGTTTAAATTCTACATATTTCAGTAGACTTAAAATTTGTGGTGCTTTAGCAGCTTATGGGTATTTTATGTGTTATGGGTATTGGGTAAACTGACAGTGGATGACACTTCGGCTGTTGTTTGAGACCATAGGCTTATTCATTGACTTTGATGGAAGGGCTTTTAATTGAAATGTTGGGATTTGTCACCTCAATTTCCTGTCATAAGATATTCTGGTCCCCAGGGCTGAGCTGAAGCCCGGTACATATTGCATGTACTACTGTACACACACCCACAGACCCAGTTTTGTTAGGCCATCCATGAAGGAGTTATTTAAGTTATTCATTGGTGAAATTTTTGATGCATCTTTGTCTTGGAAGTGATGTCCTCAACCTTTTTGTCATATGTGGCTTTCTTTCTGACTTTTTACTCTCATCTTCCATTGCATGTGGTAGTTTCTTTTCCTGTCCTTGAATATACACCAATGAGAAAGTTAGAGTTCAACCTATCTTCCCCACTGTCAAATAACATTCAGTGTTAAAAGCTTGTGTTCAAATTTTGTATTAATGAGTTTGCTGCTTTTAAGACTATCAGTTAAAAGAGTTCAGGACATTTTTACTTATCAGCAGCCTGTGTAAGTCAGGAGCTATGTTAGTGTACTTCTAATGGATTTCAAAAGCTGGGGAAGTGCTTTGTTATCTGGGCATGGGTGTTAAAGTTGAAGCATGCTCTATATTGTTGGAATAGTGAGTTGCTGAAGTTGTGCACTAAATACAGCTCTAGGATACAACAACTATCTGTATTCTTCTACTTCCATCAGTTGCAAGTATAGAAGACTTTTATATCCTGATTGGTGATTGAAACCTGAAGAATTCCATGAGAACAGAAATATCTGTGACCAATCGAACTATTGACTTTTAAAGATGAGAGTCCCTCTGAAGTGAGTCTCATGGAAACTTTCTTGCTGGCTATTCTATGTAAACTGTTTTCTCATGGAAACTGGTGGAGAAATGAAGTGAGTCTGGCTAGCTGGTGGTGATCTATCGTCATTCTTTACTTTTTCTTTTCATTAATTTTTTACAAAATTTGATTGACTTTTAGCACTTTTGATCTTAGAAGAATGATTCTTTCTACAACTTTTTTGCTAACCAGGTTCTATCCTGATGGCTGTGTTAGTTTATGAAATCTTGGTTAAAAGAGTGACAACTAGCACAAGGATAATCAGAAATTGATTGTACAACAGATGGTCCTGGGGCAGAATACTCAAGTTTGGGAGCAATTCTGACATAATTGTTTGATATGATTATTAGCAGAGAAATTGCAGTTTAATGAAATGTAATTCTTGAAGACAATAGCCTATGCCTTTTATATACTTATGCTACTGAAGTTGTGCAGAATCAGCATGCATGATATTTCTTCACCATCTTTTCTTTTCTTTTTTTTTTAATTTTTTTATAGATGATCCGATTGATTCATCCAATTTCATATATCTGAACTATCTCAATGGGAAATCTGCTTGCATCTAGAGGGTGTAAAGTGTGGAAATCAGCTTGGTGTCTTGTTACCTGCAATTGCAGTACATTTTCTTACATACCTTGTTGTGTATGTAAACTAAATAAGCTAATTCAAGTCGCGTTTATATTCTGTGAGATGTTGACCAGTTGTACGATTAAATATGCTTTGCAGTATGTCAGATCTTTGAGTATTCTAAATGCTGAAGGTTCTGAAAGTTTGGATGTGAATATGTCAGCTAAGAAGAGGAGAATATCTGTAAGTACAGAGAAGGAACTTGGCAACAGTTTGGAGAGGAAAGATGCAGCTGATGACTTTGGAGAACCTGGTAATAGTTTAAGTCTGGTATTTTAGTTTATACACATGCTCATACAGATAATGCAAATTAACATGTATAACTACCTGCAATCTACAAAGAAAATGACGAGGGTGCGGATTTGTTTGTAAGAACAGGTAATATGACTTGTATGCATCCTTGTACTATATAAGATTGAGTTTTGGTGAAAGAGGGGATTGCATTTCAACCGCACAGGTAGGAACCTTTTGGAAATGTGAAATATTCTGGTGTGTTTTACAAGCTATAGGTACAAGTGAGGGAAGCTTGTGGTTAGGTATATTATCCAAAATACCCTTATTTATAGAGGGGTAAAACTTTATGTTGGTGAAACATCTGGTATTTATGGTATGTGCAATTAATCTGCACCCATTTGTTGCTTTTGGTACAACGCACATAAGCCAGTGAGTTTGTGAACTTACTGTAATATCCCTTAACTAACAATTAGTGGGGCTTTTGAGCCGCTTGCTGTGTCTGAAACGCTTGACTGGTTGCTGTACCCTCATGAATGCTAAGGCTTGGTCGGAACCCATTTCTTGCTCATTTACATCTGAATTTAACGGCCATAAACGCGGGTCTGTTTACTCCCCTTTGAGCTTCAGTGCTTCAGTTTTCTCTTTTTGGCTTTGACTACCCCGACTTGCCTCATCGTTTCCCTCTTCATCCAATCTCAGCTCTGAATTGCCCATTTGCTCTTCATTAATTACCCCCCAACTCAATAGCCAAACCGCCGTTATGTTACTGCCGAACCCGTCGCCCATCAGTTTCACCCTTTTCGCATTCTGCAATTGGGATATTTCTTCGTGGCTTCATGCTAAGCACCTCGAAATGTACTTCAGTCGCAGCTAATCCTGGTGGTTCAGTTTGAGGTGAGAGTTGTCCCCCCAATTTTTCCAACCCTCCCCTTAATTTTGACGATTTGTTCTTAATTCCTACAATAATAGACTCTCATCGTGCATTTCAGCTGCAAGATAGCATTTTCCGTACAAATCCGGCTGTCCTCTGTAATTTGACTGGTTAACTTATATTTTTATGGGTTTGGAGCAACATCCAGAAGGAGCTCTCGGTTGGGTTTCTGGAATAAGGTTAGTTTTTTGACATCCTCTGCCTTTCTGCAGTATGCACGAATTTCATTTTCACGGAGTTTGATTGTCGCGATTTGTGAAGTGCTTGATTATATCGTGTATTGTTGATTTCTAGCTATTTGGTGTGCCTCTTTATTCTTTTTCGGACTGAATTGCCCCTTTGTCTCGGTTATCCGATTATTCCACTGGTATTTAGTCTCATCTAGGCTTCGGCTCTTTAACTCGAGCTTCAAAATATTAAAGCCTATGCTTTCTGGAAAGTTTATAGAAGCAAGCAGACCTAATAAGAAGACAGGTAGATAGGAATTTAGCCAACGAGGTGGCTGTACAGTTTGAGATTATACATAGGGCAGGGGATATAGAAGTTTCAGCTTATAGCAGCCACTGGTCTAGCTTCTCCAACAGCCACGGGTCTGATTTCACCACCTCCTTCCCCTGTCAACCATGCGCATGGATGCCCTGAAGTAACAGATCAGAGGATCAAAATTACAGTTAATTTATACCGAAAGTTAATAATATATGGAATTTCTAGGCCATAAATTAATCCTTGCATTTCGAAGATATCAAGATAAGGAGTAAGAAGTGATAAAGTAAATTAAGTTGATCTAAAAGATCTGTTAAGTTCATTTTTGGAACTCAGAAATCCACTCCCGAAATGTTTAAACTCATACTAACACTCCATAATGTTATACGTCTCTCTTTTCCTCTGCTTAAAAGGACAACAAATTATGCATAGATTTTTGTGCAGAGAAAAAAACCCTCAGATCATTCGGATGATCAGATGCCTGAAAAAGCTAAGTCAGCAGCTTTCTCAACTGCTTTTGAATTTTGAAAATCCATTTGGTGCAGCTGATTTTTTTTTTACTTTATGTCTACCAAGGATCAGATGATCATGCTTGACAAGCATGACTAAACCTAATTGAAATGTCAAAAAGATTGCCAGCCGATCACTCTTCTCTTGTTTTCCCCATGGAGAACAAGCCTGAGTTAATGAAAACATTAATGGATATTATCTTCTGTACAAGTACTTCGAGAGAGGAAATTTTAGGCTCCTTGCAACCTGTTAGTGATTTTCAGTAATCAAATCAGAATATCCCTGGAACGGAAGGGGAAAGCATATATGCCAAAATCTAATGCCATTTAGATTAGGGGCTCATTTGCAATTACCTTTAAAACCATATCTTTAGACACATTAGATCGGTATCTTGTTGAACCTTCCAATGGGCAACTCTCTCTCCTTTGGTAATAAAATTAGCATTGCAAAGACTCGAACTTGCAAGAGTATATGAGACCCAATATAGCCACTATCACCCATGGTCACCCTATTTCCTTGACCTTCCACATGTGGAGAGTACTCTGCAACAGATGTTAGACACTGAAAAATGGCTAGCAGTCTTTCCAGTGGGAAAGTTCCGGGACCCTTCATGAGTAATTCCTGTTCAGCAGTTTGCTTCTGTTCCAATGATTTTGCAGAGCTCCTGATAAGATAACAAGGAAAAAGAATCAGCAAAAAAAAAAAGGCTTCCTAAGATGACTCATACAATGCTGAGAAAATGATGCAACGAGAAGCAAGACTGCAGCCTTTGGGAACATGTTCGTAAAGGTTTAGCAAGTTTGGACACTTCAAGTTGCATCTGACAGTCATGAACCATACAGAATAGCGAAATATCTTTCAAAGTTCTTTTTTTTTTTTTTCTGAAACTACAAATGACTATTGTTAAGCAGAGTTAAAAACGAGAATGTAAAAAGAGTCCACATAACAAGGCAAAAAGAAAACAAAGTAATTCTATTTTTTTCCCCACCTATGAAACCTATGGGTCTTTAGTAAATCAATTAGACACATCAAACAAATAAGTATACTAAATTTTCATTCAACCTAATTCTACTCATACGAGTTAGTGCTATAAGATTTTTGTTTTTGACAATTCAATTTTGATAACAAATATGTTAATTATATTGTTTTATGTAAGAGAAACACATTTTAATTTTAGTTGTATGTTGATTAATCAATACTTTCATACTTATGAGTTTCATAAGAATAGGAAGGAATTTGTTTAATTATAATTTGTTGAGTTGCGCCTAAATTTGGTACTTAGACTACCGATGTAATTGCTGTTAAGATCAAACCTTACGCAAGTTGAGTGAAATGAGGATTTGCTTTTGTTTTATTGAATAAGAATGAAAATTTTGTTTAATGTCAGTTTGATTCCTTGATCATACTTTAAATTCAGCTATTTTTTCTCAATTTAACGGAAGGATTTTTTTTTTTATCAAAAAATCCATGAAATATTCCTTTATTAAGGTGCATGCATAATACCCTTAAAGAGGATGTTCAATTTCTTTTGGCTGAACCCTTTTTTAAAAGTGTCATATGTATCCAGATTGGAATCAAGTTACACATAACTGTGGATGAACTATATCTTCGTAAATACTTCATTGCCTTTTGAGGGATTGATAGTTGAAGGAAAATTTTCCATTAAAGAAAAATAACTTACACAAGTTTAAGGACCAACCCAATTATCTATACCATATACAAAGGAAATGAGGACTTTTGGTCTAAACAATATTTTATCGCTTTATATTCATTCTAAACTACTTCCATAACTGCTAAGTACTAATATGTCCTTCAACCAAGTAAAATGTATTTCTTGTTGTTTTATTTTTTAAATTTATTTAATAAATCTTAATTTTTATAAGCAACTACCAGTTGTGGTTGTTGTTTTATTTTTTTAATTTATTTAATAAATCTTAATTTTTATAAGCAACTACCAGTTGTGGTTGTGGATTATACCAAATAACTATTTGTTTATACATTTTATTTTGGCAAATTTTCTTCATAGCTGTTGTAAAAATATCGAGCCAATTATCTTAGAAATGATTTCAGCAAGTGTACTAAAAAATGTTTTACAAATATATTTTTGGTTAGTTGCACGCATATTTGTGTATGCCTCAAACACTAGATTAATATAAAGTTTCACGGTCATGAATGATAAGACAGACACAAAGGTCTAGATTATTCATATCTTTTATTACCACAAAAGGCAAGATGGGCACTATGGCCAATTGTTATAAAGTTTGTCTTATAATGAACTCAAAAAGCAAAATTTGAGCATTTGAGCCGATTCCAAATTAGTTTTGTTTGAAAGCCACAACATGCAAAGTGATATAAGAACTTTGAACTGCAATAAAAAGCAAAAAGGTGGTGTAAGAACCATTCTCAACTTGGTTTAAATTGACAATGTTAAAAGTAACAAGATGCACAAGGTGCAATGCATGGTCTTTTTATAGTGCATGAGATTGTGATGTGATGTAATATAACAAGTTCATAATGAATAGTACTACATTCTTTAGAACAAAATCACTTCTCATTTGGCAACTAATTTAAGTTTTCGATTCTATGCTCTTTCAAATACCTAACAAGATACTCCTTTTCACAATAATCAAGAGCTGGCCCAGCCAATTTGGACAACTCATCTTCCACAAAGTCCAGCGAAGGAACCAGTGATGCATCACCTGCACAACAAGAGGACGGAACCACCAAGAAGCAACGGAACTGAATACTTAAGGCTGCCCTATTAAAGTATCCATACTCATCTACTACTACTACTATAACTAAATAAGGGACTCCATAGAGCCAGAACTACAGCATTTACTCTCTTTCTGCACTCCAATCTTTCCTTCATGGACTATTACTGCTGATCTCATTCTCCGACTTTATGGATTACTTTATGGACTATTTCTGGTTTGCAATGGTAACTGCTTCTCATTATTTGATGGCTATTTCTTCTTGTAATGTACTATTGTTTACTCCACAAAACAACCTCCTTCCCCACAGACACCAAACACCCGCGCGATGCGCGGGCACTCCCCCCCTAGTGAAAAAATAAGAACAAGTTTATTAAAACAATATGTGACTATAAAAACAGGGAATGAGAAGTAAATAGAAGGAGAAGAGTAAAGAAAATACCTTATGATAGCTGCATCCCTGAGACATACTTATTTAGCCTTGTTTGACTTTGTAAAAGGCTCTAATACTGCCATATGCTTAAACACCAACCCCGTCCCCCCCACTGAGCCTTTAGCAAAAATTTTCTGTGTACCCAGTTTGCTACAAATAGTTTATGTGAGAGGTACGTATCTGTGAAGGTTTTGGCTTCTTAGTACAAGAGTAAAGTTCAAGGCAAGATTTGGTGGATTGCAAGTAACAAAGAATTGCTGAAGAAAACTTGTGCAATTAAAATTATTAGCAGGTAGAGAATAGATGAAATGGAACTTCCCTCCCAAAAATTAATGAATGAATGAACAGAGTGTACTCTAAAAAAGTCGTACAAGAATTTGTGTTATTTCCATTGTCTATTCTTTCTTTCAACAGCCCCATATTGTTGTATGGTCTGAGAACTGGAGCAGAACAATCTATCATTCTTTTCTTTTTCACAGAAGTGATGAGAGAATCAGAAAGAGATTGTAATTTGGTACTTACAATAAAAACTTGTAGGTGTTATGGTGTCTTAATTTCCCCATTAAGGTAGATAGTGGAGCCAAATATCTTGGAACCATTCAATATTAGTTATCTATGCTATCAAAATTACAGAAATCATGTTTACAAAATAAGTAACAAAATGCACCAAGACTAGAGGACATATTGTTAACTTGAAAAGCAAACAAAATATGATTGTGCTATGTACCGATTTTTTTTTTTAACTTCTCATTTAAAGACATGTATGACCAGTATAATTGTAAATGGAGAAACTCAGGCATGTAATCAGGGATAAAGATCTATTAATGCGGTCAAGATCTCTATATTTCATGTAATCTTCCGATCATCTTATTTGGCTATAGAATCCCAGACGGATGATACCAAGCAATTTAAAGAGCAAGTCTGTTGACACACAAGACTGAAAGGAAAATAGTGGAGATGGAGGATAGAAGATAGTGATGAAAAGGGTCTGGAGTTGTGAAGGACTAAACATGCTTCACAAGTGATTTTAGTCCTATCTGCTTGTAATAAAGAACAACATATTAAGTTAAAGAGAATACTCAGATATGCCTAATAATATTATGAATAGCTTCATTGTCAATAACCCTAGATGTAGGATGGCATGTGCTAACACAGAGGCCTTGCGTTTTGGGAAAAATGATACTACTGAAGTGCAAACTTGTTTGACTACTTGATAATATACTTTTTCTTCATGCATTATTTCAAGTTTTCTAGTCGTTATTAGCTAGAGAAACAACAGTTCAAGTACCTTAGAAGTCTTAGAAATGGCTGTATTAGCATACCTTGGTAGTCTACCAAAGCCATCCTAAAGAGCCACTAGTTTGACCACCCGAGTTGCTGTGTTTATGCTTTCCGCTTCTCTACCACAAGTACCATTCTACCACCTAGATTTTGACGTGCAAGTTTTCCTGTACCAGCACTCTAAACCATAACTACACCAGTGTAACTGATAAGATTGGAAAGCAAGGGATAAACAGTGTGTTAAGTACTGGATTAACTGATGAGAAAGTAATGCTGTAAGAGTAGGACTCTTTGTCCTTGAGAGTACGTCGAGTGTGTTGGAAGGTTCAATGTCTGATCTTAAGCCAAGCTAAACACTTTTTACTGGGCCGTATTCTCGCTGTTTTGCATCTTTTTCATAACAAATTGGTACCATGGATTTCCACGACCCATAAGTGTTTTTGAAATATTATAAATCATTCTTTCTTTCTCTGTCTTTTTGCAACTTAAAGTTATTCTGGAAGTTAAACATGCACGAAAAGTTAGTGTTCAGGAAAAGAATATGACTGTTTTGACGTAAGCCAAACTTCTTTGAAGTATTGCAAGGACTGCAACTACTCAACATCAGGCTCTATAAAATTTTTCATTGCTGTAATGAATGGTAACTCCTCTTGTATTCATTTAGTGGTAATACTATGCATAGAAGTGCATGAGAGAAATTGTTTGCTTTTCAGCGAGATGTTACTAATAATTTCCATAGCCATTGACAATTACAGATAGTTACTTATATTTAGTCAACCATGTAGTATTCTGAGGCAGCAACGATGAGCTAATGCTTGATTTTTTCTCTATTCAACCAAAAGCATAACTCAATTCTTCCTATGCTTATTAAAAATTAAAAGTGACTCATTATCCAAGAAAATTAATTATGGAAAAAATTAAGATAAACTGAAAACAATAACGACGTCCTGCTAGTGACCTCATAATCACCATTTTTAAGATGCCAAATAACACAAAAAAAAAAAAAAAAAAAATTGAGTCCTCGGGGTCTCAACAGTCAACAGAACTATCCAATGAAATGACCGTCACTGATGTTAGGCACCATTGAAATGCATTATTAGAAAATAAATCCTGCCATCTTTTTTCAGTAGACAGTAATGCAATCTTCTGGATAATAAATAGCAAATCTAACAATTACTTCGGCTTACTGACATTGGTATGAGAAACTTCTGTGGTCTTCCTTGCTGTTTCTTTAAGTTCAAAAGAAGTTTGAAAAGTTTTTCCTGGATTTGGATGCATCAAGTTCTTTTTGCTTTAGTAACATGAGAAATAAGATAAGGTTTTATGGATAAATGAGTGAAAGGAACAAGGACAAAAGGGAGAAATTCCTATAGGATCCTTACATCCCACTTACATATCATATAAAGTACAAATATTTGAAAGCACATTTGTCGTCCATAAGCTTAGAAGTTCAATTTAAGTGCAAAATTCCTCAAACTTTACAATGACTATAGTAATTCTAACTCTTTTGCTTTTACATCTTCTGAAATAACTGACCAAAACCTGTCAATGTTAGGTAAATGCACAGAAAACTCTTACTCGCTCCTTCCAGATTCAGTTAGAGATAATATAAGTGACACTGAAACAAGTAATGCACTTTCGCTAGTCAAGTTGACCAGGAGCGGTTTACTCCTCTTCATCTTTTCCTATTTGAGGAATTGATATTTCATGATATGATTTGATACAAATATGGCAATCAGTAGAAAGGAAAAGGCAAACGAGAACTCAACGAAACAGAAGGAAAAGCTGATAAGCGGCCTCGTACTTCGAAGAGATGAGTCAACTGGATATCAGTTAGCATTGAGAACTGCAAGAGTTGTCTTTCAGCTTCTCTTCTCTTAGAGGAACTTGTCTTCCCACTGACCGTTAATCCAGTAACCAGTGCAAACATCGGGAATATGAGAAATTGTTTGATAATCTACACTTTGTTTATCCAAATTCTGTACTTTGTGCATTAGCTCATCAGACATATCAAAGAACCCAAGATATCGAAGTCCAGTCAAGTTTTGGATGCCCGAAGGCAACTCCTGCATCAGTTTACAACCAACTAATTGCAGATTTCTGAGACTAGGCATTGATTCCTCTTCCACTCTTACCCATTTCAGTCTTTTCAATTGCACAAGCTCTAAAGTCTGGAGTTTTCGGAATCCTCCAACCTTGAAACATAATGTCTTCCCTTCATAAGCACCATAGAGAGAAAGTGATACCAGATTGGGCAAATGTCCGAGGGACCTATTACATTCTCATCTTCTCTCAACCTACTATTGGCCAACTGTAAGGTTCTCAAGGATTGAAGTGATGTCACCCATTGCGGTACTCTCTCTAAACTCCCCTTCAATGTCAGACGTGTGAGGAATCCAAGCTTTAGAGAGACAGAATGTTGGAGATCAAGGATCTCATCTTCTTTAATACAGGAGATGACCAAATCTCGAAGGTAGGTCAGCCTCAAGAGGGAGGAGAGCAACTCCTTTCCATCTTCTCTTCTCAGCTCTGTGATGGATAATTGCCGCAACTACATGAGGTTTCCAATCTCCCTTACTATTTTATCACAATCTGCTTCTATATTATACAGAGTTTCCAAGCAAATAAGCTTTCCAATTCCAAGCGGACATTTACAGCCCCAATCTGCATGCTCATTTGAATAATCACCCACTCCGTCTAACCAAAGAGAACGGAGTTTTCTTAGATTTAGAATTTCCACAGTCAACTCTGTTACATTGGTTCTTGTCAGATCTATAACTTCAAGGTTTTGAAGCTTTCCAATAGATTTTGGAATAATTTTAACTCCAGTTCCATTGAGACTAAGATACCTGAGATGAAATAGTTTGAAGACTTGCTTTGGGATACTGTCCAATTTAGCTCCATACAAATCCAACACCTTGAGCAACTTGGGATCACCACATAAAAACTTGGATAAAAATGTAGTTGTGAGAGGATCTTCATACCCAAATATTACCACAGACCGAAGACACTTTAAGCTACTAATTTCTTGTGGATTATCAGTGAAGTTGTGGATTGCTAGGTGTCGAACATTTTCAGGCCATCTTGTGTAATATCTGGTGGCTACAGTCGTGAAACTCTGCTCTTTAGATTTTGAAACAGTGATTTCACGCAGAAAATCATGAAGACCACATGTAACCAATCTGCCATCATCCCATGTGGATTTAACTTGGATTAAGCTTCTATTGATGAGTTCTTTCATATATCTCATAGCAATATCGGTGCGTGTTATTCCTTCTCTCTCTTCTACATATCCTAGTGCAATCCACTTTTCAAGTATATCATCCACTTCAATTGGATAATCTTCAGGATAGATGCTTAGATATAATAGGCAGCTTTTAAGATAGTGAGGCAAATCATTGTAGCTATGTAAGAGTACCCTTTTGATCCTGTCAAGCTTACCACTGCCATCTGCCTCGCCACCAAAACCATGAAGAATCATCTCCCATTCATCTATCTTTCCCTTGTCCTTCAGAGCCAGAACACCACCTATTGCAACAAT